GAGTTGACTTTCGGTGGTGTGGGTGGTTGGTTATTTCCGCGGTTTGGTCTCTACGGCATCTTGCTGTTACGGAACAGAAAGATGTTGTGTATGTATTGTTTTTAAGTTGAGAATTTCGTGAATCGATTTTTGTATCTAATTGTTTCCATATATTCACACCAAACAATAATAGTATAAAACACATAGCAGGTCACAACATCACCATAAAACACATAATATTTTTCACTAATAATATCCGCACTTTGATACATGAAAAATTTGCTCGAAAGAGCATACATAGAGGTACAAGTGCGACAGCATAACGACTCTATGAGTAGTGTAATCACTTAAACATGGAGTCGGTAGTACATAATATAGCGAACATAAGAGAACATAGCACTAGTAGGGTAAAGCTGGTCCTAACACACTAGGAAGCACCCAATGGTGGCAGCGAGATCATATACCGAAGTGTTGTGCCAATAACTGGGCCATCTCAGTCATCTCTCCAATGACTTCATCTCTTTCCTGTTCGGCCTGCACCGCTCGTGCTTCCATGGCGAATAGTTGTTGTCGTAGTGCGGCCGCCTTAGCCTCCGGAGAATGATTCTCTCTCACGGGATTTCCTGGTGGGGCAGGGGGGTTCTGCTGTATCTTGCCAGTAGGTGGTGTGACGGAGGCTTCGTCTGTGCCTCTTTCTTCCTCCATATCGTCATCGGTCCCGTCAAACTCGTAGTCTGTGTCCGTGTACTCGTCGGGTCCAACGCCGTGTGCTCCACCTTGTTCTTCCTCGGAGTCGTCCTCAATCATTCCGTGGGCCACTAAGACCTGATGAAACTGAATGCCCTGATGCTCCTCTTCCATGGTGTCTGTGAGGGGGAACACGTAAGGAGGTATATAAATAAACTATTATTACTCCTAAGATTTGTTATTTATATATAAAAAGTTGGGTTGATGCGCTCCTCTTGTTTAACAAGGGGGGGGGGGTATGCCTTTGGATTACTGACCCTCACGATCGTTCCAGGGCATGTGATAGTTGTACTACGAAGAAATGTAGTTGATCAGGCTACATTCATCCCTAATACAACTGTGAACAGTCCTGGCTTAACCGGGATGTCAGGTTCTCCCAATCATCTTCTTTGATTTATGTTTCATTTTTCTAAGTCGCACAAGTAAGAGTGTTTATTAACACATTTTATTTGTTTTGTTCAGAGTTATTTAGTCCCTTGCTGGGTTTATAGTTGCATATCAATGTGTGGTTAGATATGCCAGTTCACTATAAACAGAGCTCTGATACCAACCTGTCACACCCTCGAACCAGACGGCGGAAACGTCCGAGGGCTCGTGTGACTTAAATTGAAATATCATCACAATGAATATACATGAAACACAACATATTCATCACCAAACATTACATAGTACAACTGGCATTGTTTACATCAAGTACATGGTTTACATTACATGATCCCAAAATATAAAGTGTTTGGTGATTAGCAACTACAAAAGAAATTTTCAACACACTGGATGCTTCCTCGTTCTAACGATTACCTGAAAATACAAGTTATTTTGAAAACGGTCAACATATATAATGTTGGTGAGTTCATAAGTACGTTTGATGTAAAATAGTTTATGTCGTTCGTAAAACCCAGAAAATCCGATATTTTCTGTAATAAGACTTTTCATGAAAATGTTGTGATGATCCTGCAAGTATATGCGTGAATGATTTCAAAACGTGTATAAATGAGAAGTTTTGCATTATAGTTTTTGAAAGTGCCAGTGAGTAAGATTGGTTTCCCCGGAAAACCCGATGTTTTCCGATAAAAAGTTATGATTGTTTTGTATTATTGTATCGTCACAGCAAATGAATATGATTTCCCTTGATTACTTAAATGGTATCGGATTTTCTATGTGAGTCGTTATAACCATGCATGATAATGACTAGTTCGTCTGTCTTGGCATTCTATTGAACACCGAAATTGATCTTAAGATTTTGTCACCCTAGACTGGCCGAGTCTAACTGTAGCGAACAACTTAGGTGTGGAGGAGTCACCCCCGTATAGATCTATATACAAACTCTCGCTCTCCCTCCAGAAGACTTTGATTACAGCTACAGACTACGACCGACACTTATTGGTGTCACCCGTTGTTACTCACTTAATCCACATGAATTTGATTAACCTTGATTAATGACCTGATTTTAGTTTACTTGAAGAGAAGGTAAGCCTAACAGACGAGGAGAAGAGGACTAATGGGCCCTACTAATTATGTATGTTATTTAAGGCTGTCGAGTATACGAAAGGCGCGTTGGCCCATTTCGCATAAGATTTATTTTGACCTTACTAGCAATGCTAATGGGCCACTGAGGCCCAATAGCATATAAAAGCCATTGAGGGTCCCTTAAACATGTAATTGGGTCACAAGAGGCCCAATAACATGTATTATTTATGTTGGGACCAAAAGTCATGTTAATGTGTCACGAAGGCCCAATAAGCATGATTAGAATCTCTCAAGCCCAACAATTAGCATGTTTACTTGTTTTGTATAGTATTAGTGTTGCGAAGTTGTTTAATCGATATTTCGTAAAAATCACCAATTTGTTTTATAACGATTCATAGATTTATAAAAATAGTTATTTTTCTATTTAAAACCCATAAGTTATAAAGTTTCGTATATTTTGACCCACTTATTTTATTATTAACATAATTGACCAAAAATATTAGTTTGACCTATTCAGCCCCTTATTTTGGTAAAGTTGGGAATTTTTAGCCCTTTTTATGAAAAATGACATATTAGGTCCTTGAACTCTTTTTCTTGACATTTTTGGCCTAAACACTTAATTAAATAATGTTTTAAGCCCAAAATTTTATTTTGGACAGTTTCAGCCCCGTAGTTAAAAGATTTGCATTTAAATCCACACTTTTCACAATTTTTACAATTTTTACCCAAAATCCAAAATCTTTGCATTTTTAGTCCCTTTTGATAAATAAGACCATTTTAACCCCTGAAATAGGTTTATTTACGTTTATAGCCCCTGTTTTGAGAAAACTTTCCATTTCAGCCCCTTGAAGTTGATTTTTCGCATTTTTGGGCCTAAATAGCCGAAAAGCCCAAATTTTAGCCCATTGGGCTAAAATTTACATTTTTAGTCCTTTAAAAAGCCTAATATTGATAAAAATCTTATTTTGGCTGTTTTGACCTTTTGATCCTTGTAGAAACCGTGAATGACATCTTTTTCCCCATCTTTTGTTTATTTATCAAAAATAGTCCAATAACAAATTTTTATGTTGTAGTGTGTTATTTTAAAGCTTGTATAGTAGTTTATCTTGACATGTTAAGTGAAATATGACCTAGATCACATATTTTTCCTTCTTGAACTATAGATCTCGAAATATCTTACATTTTTAGCACATATTTACCACAAAAACACAAGAAATCACACATAACATACAAATACACATAGATCTTCACATTTCACTTGTATTCTCCCCCATAAATCATATGAAAACCGAAAATAGAGGGGTATGAACTCACCTTTGCTTGTTGTTGTCGGTTTTGAAGAAAGAAATGGAAGAGTTTTGGTCCTAGTAAGCCTTCTTGGGTGGATCTCGAACTTAGTATGTTTCTAGGAGTATGGTCATGAATTTAAGGTGGTAAGAAGAGTGAATGACTATAGAAAGGAAATATGTTTGCAAGATCTTACCACTAGAGTGTAGCTTGAAGTGATTTTTGGATGGAATCTGCTTGAAATGCTTCTAATTCTCGAAAAGTCTTGATGAGAGGGAATGGATGTTCTTGAATGTTTTACTTAGAGAGAGTATGAAATGTTTTGTGTGTGTGTGTGTTGATTCTCGACCGCAAGTATTAAGAAGAAGGAGAAGAGAGAGATGAATGCATGGGAACATGAGATTTGTCTTGGATGTATGTTGGATAATCCCATAATTAACCCCTAAACAACAATGAGGTGTCATGGGCATTTATTCATTTCTTTGCTCTTTTTTTTCCTACTTGGGCCGAGAGAGAGAGAGAAGGAAGAGAATGGCTTGGCCCTTTTATGCTTGAGTCCCTAATATGAGGCCCAATTTGATGGTTTTCGGCCCATTGGGCCTTTAGAGTAGATCACCGCCCAATTTTTGTATAAGAGAATGGTTTTAGTCCATTTAAGCTAATTGGATTAGTTATGGCCCAATAAGACCCATTAAAGATAAACTAGTCCATTTTAGGCTTATAAGGCCCAAAAAGGTTAAGTCTCATGAGAGTGGGTCCAATGAGAGTCCATTTAAGAGTTCTAAGCCCAAAATAGTCACATTGGAAGTTTATTGGCCCATTAGGCCCAATAAGGAAATCCTAGTCCATAATGGACTTAAACCGGGATTTCTAGGGTTTCCAACCTTTTGTAGGCTATTTGAGCGTTTGTATGGAGTGTTTGATGGAATTTTGTTGTCATTGAATAAGCATCATACAAGCTTTCAAGTTTTAGTTACAATGTTATCCTTGTTAATTGTTTACAAGGCATCATAATTCCTAGTTGTGACACAAGAAAGCGAAGACGTAAAGATCCAAGGCCGAGAGTATTTATTTCTGAACCAGTACAATCATTAAGCCCTACTGTAGATGCAACCCAAGTTTCTCAAGATGATCAAAGCCCTACTGTAGAACCAGTCCGGGTTTCTCAAGATGATCAAAGTCCTACTATGGAGCTAGCCCAAGTCGTTCAAGAAGATGTCCAGAGCCTAATTGTTGAACCAGCCCAGGTTCACGGTAATGTTTAAAGTCCAGTTTTTGGTGAAGGTTTCGATTTTCTGGCCAATGAAGAAACATTTGCCTCAGGAAGTTCTTCCGCTCCACCACCTCTAGAGCATGATGCCACATGTGTCAAGCTAGCCAGGATACTTGCTTTTCAAGACTCTATTTCTCAGTCCAAATGAAAAGCGATATCTATCGGCTCCGGAAAAGGGAGTGATGAAGATTCTCATCAAATCATCTCTGAGCTCAAACAAGAGATTTTGATTTTGAGGCAGGAGTCAATGGAGAAGGAATTTTTAATTGGTAATCTGGATGTAAGAGTATCTAGTCTTGAAAATAAGAACTCTGTTAAAGATGCGAAGATTTCCGAACTTCAAGCAAATCTTGATGGTATAACAACTTTATTCTTTGACCTGAAACAACGCTTACATGAGAAGTTTGGTGATGATTTTCAACCCTTGAGCGCTGAAGGCGAAAAGATTTCTACTTCTACTTCTAATCCAGTTAATCCACCTTCTCAATGTGTAAGTGAAAGAGTTGTTAGACCTACTCCGGATGCGAATCTTTACACTTTTTTATCTTCTGGTCCTTCTTCTGCTCAAGAAAGAAGAGAGAAGCAAGCTCGAATTGAGGAGCTGAAAGGGAAGATGTTAGTAATGAAGCATTCAGATCAGAATGTTTCAGGTGATCACCCTGAAATGTTTTTGAGAGAAACTGGGAAGAAATTTACTGAAAAAGTATGGAGATCGCTTTGGCATTTTGATGTAGGGATATGATGCTGACAGGAAAATGTGGGTTGTGAAGCGAAAGATATATCGAATTGAGTACTATGAGAACCCATCTGACTTTATGTCCTGGACAAAAGTCGATCTTGCTGAACTTATTCACGCTCCTTTCAACAATCCAACCAATGACTCTGTGACCTGGGATTTTAAGAGGTTTCTTGAGGCTCAAGGTAAAAATAAATTTTAAGGCATGAAGACTGCTTCATCGTTCACGAGAAAGGCTAAAGATGTCATTGATCCTCGAACTAATAAAACCATGGTGAATGTTATGTGGCCACCCATAAAGAAAGTTAAAAGGATTCCGGTTCCTAAACGTGTACCAGAAGGCACTTTGGACTCAATGCAATTATGAGTTTATGATGAGGTTACCGCGTCGGCCGTAATAAAGTTGAAAATGGGTTAGTATCGCCTTATCGATCCCAAAGATTTGTTAAAATTTGGAGAATGTGATATTAATACTTTGTCACATTTTCAGCTTATTGTTCAAAATAAACTATTTGAAGTTGCTGGAAAAAGTTTCACTGGAATGGTTGCCACTATAATTGACAAGAAGTTGTTGGCTGGGGTATTCGATCAATCTGATGTTCATCTTATAGACAAGCTTTAAAGCAGCCAACAATAAACCAAGGGGGGATATTGTTGGGTTATATTTTTATGGTTTATGTTGGGCTCATAATGTTCCTGTTCTTGGGCTTAGAATGTTAGTATGTTAATGGGCTTGTATATGTTCACGGTTGGCTGAACCGTGAACACTTAGTCTTTACGGTCTTGATGGTTTGGGCTTTTGTGGCATTGTACTGATATATATATATATATATATATATATATATATATATATATGTGTGTGTGTGTGTGTGTGTGTGTGTATTCAGCCGTGAACTGGTTAGTAGTTCTTCATTTGTTTTATTCACGGCTGGAGTTAGAGCATTGGTGTACTAGACGATTTATTGTTAATAGAATCGTGTGCATTGAAAGTTATTTTGTGTTCTTGAATCTTTATTTTGTTTAAATTCCGCATTCTCTAAATAGATTGATTGATATATCATATAAGATCCATAGTTTTGGGACTTACGATCAATAAGAGTGACTACATACCTTTTATTTCCCAAAGAAGGAGTGGAGTGAAAATCACACAGGTCACTGTGTACAAGTTCCAAAATAGTTGAATTTTTAATGACACTAGGAAAGGGTTGTTTTGTCACTTTTGTAAGAATGCATGTTTTACATTTATCAGATGTAATATCATGGGCTAGAATTAATCCATCTTTTGACATCTCATGCATCCTTCTAAAGTTGACATGACCTAATCTTACATGCCAAAGCATAGATTTATCAACATTAGAAACAGAAGTTACAAATGCAGAATTTTGAATAGGTAATAATTTGTTAATAATATTTAAACGAAACATTATATTATTTAAATATCCAAATCCAACAAACATCCCACCTCTAAACAAAATAAATTTATCTGACTCAATAACTTGTTTAAAACCATCAGAATTCAAACAACTAGAAGTTCATTGTATTGTTCAGTAATAGACCTTGAATCGTCCATCTTATAATTATTATAGTCACTTACTGGAAACTTCTTGCTAAAAGCATCCTCAGTGATATATTTCAATTGAAGGGTGTCCCGTAACTCCTTGGCACATAAGGCTTCACTATGGATATCAAATGAAGCATCATACATACTGTTCAGAATGTGACCTTTGCAGATGTAGTCATCGTTGTCCCACTTCTGTCTCCTCCTTATCTCTTCAATTGTCTCATCAGCACCTTCCTCAGGCTCCGCTAGTCTTGGAGTAGTCAGCACGTATGCTGCTTTCAAAGTAGTCAAAATGAAATGCATCTTCTTATTCCAATGCCTGAAGTCGACGCCTTCGAGTTTCTCCAGCTTTGTGAACTTCGTGTTCATCTCGCAGATTGAATCTCTCATCTCCAGAAACAGGAAGATATTAGTTCGGTTGTTGGAGAATATAGGGTTTGAGTTGGAGATCTGGATATCACTTGGATCGTGAGAACACTTTCCGAACTGATATTTCTACCCTATGCCTGGGTTGCAAGAAATTCAGCCTAGGATAATCCAAGTTGACACTTACGATTTCTGTGCCTAGAATCGTAAGTGTACACTTGGATTATCCTAGGCTGAATTTCTTGCAAACCAGGCATAGGGTAGAAATATCAGTTCGGAAACTGTTCTCTCGATCCAAGTGATATCCAGATCTCCAACTCAAATCCTATATTTTCTAACATCCTCTCTTTTAACTTGTATCCATGCTGCATCTTCCTCAACTAACTGCATCACTGATTCAGCCCCAACACACACACCAGTCCTCACTATTTCCGCAACCAACCTCTCATTAAAAAACGGCTCAACAAATTGAGGCCATGTGATCATCGGTACACCCGCATAAATCCCTTCAATAGTCGACTTCAGCAAATTGAGGCCATGTGATCATCGGTACACCCACAAAAATCCCTTCAATAGTCGAATTCAGCAAATTGAGGCCATGTGCTCATCGGTACACCCGCAGAAATCCCTTCAATAGTCACATTCCATCCACAGTCAGTAAGGAATACCCCTACCGAAGGGTGGGACAAGATTAGAACTTATGGGGCCCACCTATGGATCAAAACACCTCTTCGTTTCACTCTCTCTTCAAGCCCATCTTCCACCAACCATTTTTCTATCACTTGTGTTCGACTCCCACCTTTCATCTCTAAAATAAATGGGAATTCCGACTCTTCTAACCTAGATCTAGTTCGATAAACTGTGGTGGTTTGAGCCGTGTTAGGCTCCGTAGACACACGTAAATCACACTCCCTGGTTTCTGACAATAATGCACTTGTGGTTTGTAATCGAACCATTGGTTTTCCACGTTGAGCTTTGTCTAAATTGCTCTTGTTATCTTGTTAAAACGGCCCTATACACCAAACTTTTTGCTTCACTTTCCGATATTCATCGATATATATCTACTTTCCAACTCCTCAAAACTGTTTATAAGTACCCCATATGCTCATATTTCTGCTACTCTAATTTTATCATGTACAGTTTTTATCACCTTTGCCTCTGCACTCTTCCCACTCTTCCATGGATTGAATAACCCTGGAAGCTGAGATTTAGTCATGGTTATGTTATCCGGTAAACCCGACAACAAAAATGGATCGAAATCGCCCACCCGTTCATGAACCTTGGAAACACAGAGATTATGAGTAGCTAACTGAGTGAAACAACTCATTCCCTCGAAAATAACCTATGGAATCTCGAACTTTCTTGCAACATCTACTGTCCAAGTTAAATGTTTATCAGAAATCATACAACTTGGTGTCGGTTTAAGCTCGTTAAACACTTTTTCAAGTGGTTCTTGGAGTTTAGCAGTTGCATCAAAGAAGTTCTTGGTCAACTTGAATGATGGTAAATCATCTACGTTTTCACATCCTTCTAGTAATCCGTATTGTGAGGCTGGGAATTGGAGGTTGAGGATTCGGATAGGATGGCCTGAGGCCACTACGCGATGAAGGACCGCCCCGAACCTGGCAGCATTATGGGGTGTGATGACGATGGTGACGGTGGCGGAGTGTTGTGCAATGAGTTTGGCCATGTCCACCATTGGAATGAGGTGACTGGGGCACATTAGAGGTATCATAATAACATGAACATTGGAAGCCATTTCAGAGTATGAACTATGATCGAAGTATGATTTTTTTGAGGACTATATGTTATGGTCTCGTTGGATGTTATATACGATTTTAAAAACTTTAAGTCCTTTTCTGCTTTTAACTTACGACATGTTTTGAGTGTTTTGAAGTGTTTAAACTATTTGGCTGGGATTTGGCTTCTTCTCTAAAGCTGAAAGGGGTAATTCTTAAACAAGGTACATGTTTTGATCCATTATTTACAACTTTTAATTATATAATTCATAATTTCATTTGGGTTTACCTATATATTGTCATACAGAAATGCAAAACAGACCAGGCAGTTTAAATAATTTTTGTGTTGGAAAAATTTACTAATTTAGCCAAAAAGAATTAATGATTTTTTATTAAATAGCAAAAAATTAGCATTTTTCATAAAATAGCTAACGAAATACAAGTGATTAAGCCCACCTGCGATTTCAGCCTTCTCATGCTAAGCATCTCGCTATATTGGGCTACGAATTTGACCCGTTTTCGGCCTATGGACGAAAATATATAAATCTCAAAATTTGAAATAATCTTCATTTTCATACTTCCAACTTCAAGAAATTCTTTCAACCCTCTCCATAGCTCAAAATTAATATTCACCCGAAAACTTTATAAATACAGTGGAGGAATCACACATATATAAAAAAATAAAAATAAAAAATAAAAAACGAAATTTAACGGAGGAAATTGCACGTGACCCTAGGCCTTTTGCAATATCAAGAACAAAAAACCTTTTATACGGGACAAAATCATAAATGGCATAACCACCTGCGATTCTGTGACTATTTTCAGGAAAACTCGAATTTTTTAGCTATATTTTAAAAGAGAAATTAAATTACCTTCTACTTTTTATACCTATAATTATTCCTACCCACTAAAATTATGACAAATCACCATTCAATTTAATTTTATTTGATATATTCCTAATATAACCTTAATGAGTTAGTTAAAAAAATATGGAATGATGACATTTGTCATAATTTTATTGGGTAGAAACATTTGTAGGTATAAAAAAATAGGAAGCAATTTAATTTTTCATTTTAAAAAGTCATTGAAGTGTTTAGTTAAATTTGTAAATTTCTCTTTTGTGTTTCCTTTTTAACTACATGTTAAAACATATATGATCTAATTAAAGTATGAATACTGTATTTCCTTTTTCAGTATGTCTTAAAACAAATAACATATGACCTAATTAAAACACTTAACACCTTGAACTCTACAAAATTTAATAGATTATTATATTATAATTATACTATTCATGTTACTTTATCTTTTCCGTGCAATTAAATAAGTTCTATTAAAATTCAAAGGATCATTTTTACAACTTAAAAAGTTTATTCTATTGACCAGTTTATAGTTACTGAACTTGTAGTTATTAAACTTCATATATGTTGAACGTCATTATATGATATTCTTTATGGTTAAATATCAACTAGATTTCAGTCACTAACACTTTAACTATATCATCTATATGTTTTAAAATGTAGTTAAAAAGGAAACAAAAAAACTATGCAGTTTAAAAGGAAACACATCTTATTCATTAATTCCATTAAATTTTGTAGTGATAACAAATACTACAATCTAACTTGTGGTTACCAAAACAAAAGATATAAACAAAGGAATAACATAGACCGACAATCACACACCTTTCTACTTGGCATCTTGGGCGGCTTTAATTTCTGTCTTTCTAACAATCGTTTTATAATCTACCCCATTGGAATTTTCATATTAGACAGAAGTTAGAGTAAACTCAGTGGTCAACAAAGTTGCCTCGTTCATATTTTACTTAGAAATAAACTAATTAAACTAAGTTTATTTTGTTCTTTTGCAATTTTGTAAGCACGTACATACATGCTTATCTAAACACTTACATCATCACTAATTAATCTGATTAATTAAAACATCATTGAACCGTTGATGGGAAAGAGGATGAAAATATTTGTGTGTGTCATATCTATATCTATCTATCTATCTATCTATATCTATATATCTTATAAAGCTAGTATTTTTCCTTGAACCTCATGCATTTGAAACTCCCAAGACCATTTTTTCTTGAACCTGATGCATTTGAAACTCCCAAGACTATTCAACTTATACAAATTAATTTATGATTAATTGAAATATTATGATTTATAAATCTTAAAACTCTTCAAATCATGCTATTTAATTGATGAGTTAAATGAAATATTTAGTCTATATAAGAAATTTGTAGATTACATATTGTATGTATGACAACACAAAATGATAGATTATATTTGTAGGGTTTGAAGAGTTATATGAGTGGTTTCACGGATGTAAGAAAGCAATTGCAACTTTTCCAAATATAAATTCATATAAACTCAAATTCGGTGCATGTAAAGTTTTAGATATTAACCAAGGTTCAAATTTAGGTATGTTTGTAAAGGTATACTTGAGATCATTTTTTAAGTTTATGTGTTATACATCTTTCTATAATAACAGGATGATGAAGTGGGATTGATAATTACTTCTCATGAGCTTTTGGTAAATCAACCATCAAGCTATTTATAAGTTAGAGCAATTAATTTTGTTAATATGTATGTATCTTTATGTTGTCTCTCTCTTTTTTATGTTAAGAAAATATATTTTATGTACAAGAGAATATTATTCAACATGCATTTTATGTTATGTATATACTATGTTAGTTTCTATCGCATATTTTGTAAATAACATCGATGAAGTTTTTTATAATTGATTTTGATAAAAGGAGTTTACAATCATTATTCCAAATTGTTGGTGATAATGACGAATTAGAACGAATGATTTTTAATATGATATAACTTTATTGTTGAAAACCAATAATTATGTATGTTATAAAAATGAATTCTTTATGTTCTACCAAAACACTATATGGATGTACCAAATTTTAAATGTTTTTATAGTAATAAAAATAAATGATCTTATTACATTGGTCAGTTTCCTTTTTTTCTATTCATTCTTTATCGTAAAGGAAAAATAAAATAAATAAAATATTAATATTTTCAAAAGAAAATATAAGTGATCAAAATATACCTCAAGTGTAACACTCCTCATCCCTAACCCACTCTTAACATATTGCTTTTAAGATTGGTCACAGTACATAACAATTACTATAGTTTTGAATTTCAAATTACTATTTTTATTTGGACCGTTCATTCTCTTCCAAAATTTCATAGCTTTAAGGAAAAAAAATGAAAGTACAATAAAAAAGTATGATAGTTTCTTTAAATATAATAATGAAAATTTTCAAATAAGTAGTTTTTAAATCGTAAAAAGTAATAATTTTTTTTAAAATAACGTAAAACTAAAGAATAGATTATATAATATTAATAAATTATTTTTATTTGAAATAATAATAACAATAATAATAATAATAATAATAATAATATAGGGAATAAAAAATATTCAAATAATTTTTTTATAAATTAGTTAAAAAATAAGTATAGTTTAAAATAATTTTAAATCAAAAACTTAATTCAATTTGATTCGAACACAATTTTTATATCTTTCTTATCATATACTTAAAATTATTATAATATTAGTTACAACTTAGGATAAAAATTATTACTTCAATGATAAATACTTATAATATTGTTTTTATATCATATAATTGTTAATATTTATATTACATTATTGGGCACAAATCAAGAGTTTAAAACTCCACTACAACTCAATAGTTTTTTGTTTAAATGTAATTATGATTTAAAATTTAATGTAATTTGCCTTTATATTTTCCACTACATTCAAAGTTTTTTAAACTTATGGTTATTAATGTGCAATGCTTTTTTATTTTCCACTTATTTGTTATACACATTGTAGCTATATAAGTAGTATATAAGTAAGTTTTGATTAAAACATCATATGTTTGAAAAGATTTGTGATTCAAAATGAAAGATTTGAAAAAAATAAGTTTTGTCGTATGAATGGTTATTTCAATACAAATTTTTTATAACAATGTTTCTATATATCAAATGTATGTTGATTTCTAAATATTTATTTTGAATGTTTTTCATACTATTTATTAATTTTTTTGTATACAAACCGACATACATTTTATATATAATTTCCACAACTTAAAACGTTATATAAAATCATCAACAGTTGTAGTATTTATTTTTTCATACTACTTTGTTTTTTTATACATAGGAATCAATATATCTTTGATATATAATTTACACAACATAAAACGGTCTACAAAATCATGAATTAATAGGAGAAATAACTAATTATATAAATTGTTTAAAAATAATAAAACTAATATGTTAAATATAGATTGTTTTGCTATTGCCATTGGTTTTACATGTATAAATATCAAATCAGAAACTGTTAAATGTTATTATTTTAATTAACTAATTATATTGACGCGCAACGCGCGGGGATTCGACTAGTATATATATATATATATATATATATATATATATATATATATATATATATATATATATATATATATATAGAGAGAGAGAGAGAGAGAGAGAGACACTAGGTTTAAACCCACAGAAACCACGGTTGATAGAGAATGTATCGGTTTTGTATGGATCTTCAACTTTTACCCATCACATAGAGGAAACAAGAGGGTGTTTGGCTTAGCTTTTGAGGGGCAAAAGTCATTTCTGTAAAAGGACTTTTTGTAAAAGGACTTTTTACAAAAGTTGTTTTTTAAAAAATGTTTGGTTTAACTTTTACATGTAAAATGACTAAAAAGGACATGTTTATATATTTACATTGATTAGGGTAGCTGGGGGTATAAAGGTAATTTAATGTTTTAAGTGGTTGAAAAGTTGGAAAAGTCACGTTTACGTGACTTTTCAAAAAGACAGGATTTCCTCTATTGAAAAAGTTGATTACAAAAGTGATTTTCATTTTACCAAACATCTTTTTGACTTTTAAAAAAAAAGATAAAAGTGAAAGTCACTTTAAAAGCAATGCAAACACCCTCCAAATTTCATAAGGGACAACTAACTAAACTTCAATATCAAACAATAATGTA